GAGCCGGTGTGTGTTTTCTAAAAGGCGGAAGTAGTGCAGCCAGAAGTTCCTGCTCCTACGCGTTTTGTCACATCCAGGACATCATCAGGAGGTGTGGTCTCCACAGTGTATACCGCTGTATATATACTCTTCCATGTAACAGGATTGGTTGACATTGCTACACTATAATTTTCTTATGACTTCATACTTACATGTATATGTTATCGGCAGATGGTCCTTACATATGTTATGTCGCTAATTTATACAAAATTTCAAAAAAATTTCAAACTTAAACCATAATTTTTTATTAAGTTTACTCTAAAATCAATGCCTACAAATATCCATAGCTCCATCTAGTGACCCAAAACAAAAAGTACATTCTGTACTAAGCCTGTTTGTCTCCATGTTGTGGTAAAAACCTATATGGCAACTTAAAAAAACCTAAATATATTCTATATAGACTCCTATACCCAACATTATGCTAAAATACTATAAAATATATGGTATCTAAAATTACCTAAACTATTTTGTTTAAAAAAAACATGGGATTTCCTAGGGTAAAATATAAAAAATCTGTGATGAAGAAATTTAAATCTAGATCTACATTCATACCATGGAGGATCAAGGTACCAAGTTTCAAAATCCACCTTGTCTCATTTTGTGAAAAATCTTTCTTTAAATTGGACCCTCTCCGGTGTTCCTTGACCCTGTCTATACAACAAAAAGGTAAGTAGACTTGTAGTAAAAAAAAGTCTCAAAATGCTATCTCTCTGTTAACCATTTTTTATATTGTTATTATTATTATTATTATACAGTATTTATATAGCGCCAGAGGGTATGCTCAGCGCTGTACAGTAGCAGGGGGACATAACATGAGACAAGACAGTAACAATACACTACACGAGGGGTTCGAGGGCTCTGCTCTTTCAAGCTTACAATCTAGGAGGGAGGGGAAGGTGGCACAGGAGGAGATGGCTGTGGGGGATGGAGTGGTGGGTGGAGTGGAGGAGGTTAATTGTTAGGTGAGGTCGGGTGTTAGGTGAGGTTGGGGTAGGCTTCCCTGAAGAGTGAGGAGGGTAGGTGACAGTCTGATGGATTGGGATAGGGAGTTCTAGAGGATGGGGGAAGTCCTAGAGAAGTCCTGCAATCGGGCGTGGGAGGAGGAGACCAGGGAGCTAGAGAGCAGGAGGTCCTGTGAGGAGCGGAGGGCACGGGTAGTATCTGGGTATCAGGTCAGTTATGTAGTTCGGGGCGGCATTGTGAGTGGCCTTGTAGGTCAGGGTTAGCAGCTTGAACTTGATGCGTTGGGCAATCGGGAGCCAATGAAGGGATTGGCAGAGGGGGGAGGCAGATGTGGAGCGCTTGGTGACGTGGATGAGTCTGGCTGCAGAGTTTAGAATCGACTGGAGTGGGGATAGCGTTCGTTTGGGTAGGCCAGTGAGAAGGGAGTTGCAATAGTCCAGGCGTGAGATGATGAGGGAGTGTACGAGTTGTTTGGTAGTGTCTGGGGTGAGGAATGTGCGTATCTTGGAGATGCTGCGGAGGTGGAGCCTGCAAGATCTAGATAGCAGTTGGATGTGGGGTAGGAAGGAGAGGTGGGAGTCCAGGGTGACACCCAGGACTTTGGCGTGTGGGGTGGGAGAGATGGTGGCGTTGTTAGTAGTGATGGAGAGGATGGGGAGGGGGAAGACCAGGAGTTCGGTTTTGGATAGGTTAAGTTTGAGGAAATGGAGCGACATCCAGTCTGATATGTCGTTTAGGAGGTGGGCGATGCGGGCAGAGAGTGAGGGGGTGAGGTGGGGGGTGGAGAGGTAAATTTGGGTGTCGTCGGCATAGAGGTGGTAATTGATATTGTTCTTATGTTCTTGGATATACACTGCAAGCTTCCAGATAGTCCTACCTACTTCCTAGATCCCACATGGGCATTCCAGCATATATGTAACACATGAACTATTGCAAGATAGAGATATTTTTGTATAATGTATTGTTTGCTTGTATAGTTAGACCCAAAAATTGTGCAGTTTCTAACATTATCTTTACTGATTCAACTTGATCCAGATCTTCTACATTTATAAGAACACAATCTATCTAAAAAGGTGACCCATTTTTGGGGGGATCTGGGATATTTTTCACAATTTTGGTCCTAAGTCCTGGGGCTCTTCTGTAAAAAAAAAAAAAAAACTTGGTTTCCTAGGTAATATATTTTGTTGGGTGTTTTTGCAGCACTTACCTAGGAGTGATATATATCACAAGCTATGGGGTTTACAGTTTTTTTGTTTATGATTCATTGATAGCTTTTCTGGGTTTTTTTTTTCTGATTATTTGATGATAGCTGAAAACACATACAACATCAATTCGCAGACAGTGTTTATTGCTCACAGAAACTATTTACTATAGCGCAGCATTCATTTATTATTTTTTATAAATATTCTGTAGTGTGTTGTCCCTCATCAAAATCATCCAAATTTTTTTGTTCCATTGTCTTATGCTGTCTACTGTAACCAGTTACAAATGCTAGGTCAAAATTTTGTGATTTACCTTTATCCTCCCTTAACATCAGTCCTCTGATTCCCCAACTTCTCTTCTAATGTCCTCTAAAGTTTTTTTCTTGTATCCTTTAGCCATCCAAATCATTTAGCTTAATCCTTGTATACTGTCCCTTGGGTACACTCTTTACCCATTTGGGGTGATTACAGCTATTGGTTGGTATGTACTCATTTCTATCAGTATCTTAAAATATGTTTTTGTACACAATTTACCCTGATTTTCAAAAATGGTTAAATCCAAATAGTGAACAATCTGTACTGGCTGTAAAGTGAATCTCAAAATTATTCCTATTGTCATGTACCTGATAAGAGACTGAATTGACGAGGTCATCCTCACTTGTGTCACTAGCCCTGACCCCGCTCATGTTGGAACAGAGGGAGTCTAGGAACCAGGGGGACAAGAGCGCCAGTGGTTGTTGTTTGCAGCTCTTGCAGATGATGACCTTAGAAGGTGGATGATCCTCAGATTTGGACACCACAGTAATAGGCAGAACAGGTTCTGTGGATTGCCAGGCGTGCAGCAGAGCAAGGTAGGTTGTGAGGACAAGAGACTGGAGCAGAGTCATTGGATAGCCAGGGTCATCATCAACAGTCAGGCAGCGCGGTACAGAATCAGAAGGAAAAGCCAAAGTCAGGAGCAGAGCTGAAGTCAGGAACCAGTATCAGGAAAGTAATCAAAGTCGGGTCAGGAACAAGCCGGGTTGGTAACAGAGGAATCGTACAGGAACAAGTAGGACACGGGGGGAGCTGAAGACCAGTCAGCACTGAACATGAGCAGAGGCACTCCTTAAATGGGCCATCTGGCGCCAATCTTAACCATGCGTGTGCACGTGCGCGATCGCGCATTCCTGCGCGCATGCGCACAACCAGCAATTCTTCTGCGGGAATTCCTATGCGCATTCCCGATTCTTCTTGCCGGAAATCCCTTACACCTATTCATGTGTGTAATAAAACTTATCAAACTCCTCTATTGTACCCTACAATATTATCTGAATATCGTCAATGAACCTCTTAAACAACCTTAAATTGTCAACAATTACCATCAAAATATCCCCTTTCTTCCATTTATTTAACACACTATGGGGCATATTTAGCATCCATAGAAAATCCTTTAATTTGATTGGAAAAGGTATTACCATGCCATAAGAAATTGTTACCCATTGCCATTTGTAAGGCTTACAAAATAAGTTTCCTTTGTACCCACACCAAGTCTGTTTTCTCTCTTAGGGCCTATTTCACTGCAGACAGCCCATTTTCCTGTTTTATTTTAGTATATAATAACTCAATGTCTACGGTTACCAATATATTATCTTTGTTTAAAGTGAGTCCTTAGAGTTGCTTAATTACATCTTTATTATCTTTTACATAGGAGGAACTATTTTTTATTGTTAAGGGTTGTAGCTAAACATCAATATATTCTCCTCTCCTGGTGTTTATCCCACTCACAATGGTCTTCCTGAGGGGGTTTTGTTTATTTTGTATGAACTTTTGGGACCTGACATATGACAGGTATTCTAGGGCCTCTGGGATAAGGTACTTAGTTCTACCAATTTTCATCTCATCTTTTTACTTGGATTTCCATTTAATTTTTATACAGTATGTATCCTCATTCCCCATTATTCTTTTCATTTCTACATCGTAATCCTTTTAAGTCATAATAACCTCCCCCTCATGTCCATCAGGTGGATCACAATGTCTCTTCTTTTTTCTAATGCTTGTATCCCTTTTTCTATTATTATTTTAACCAAACCTTTTTATCTTTATTTCCCTAATGTTGTTGTGTTTTAAACACATCAACATATTGATGCCATTTGGGTTTCAGATTACACAACAATTTATCTTTTAAACCACTACGCTGAAAACTTGTAGAAAATGTTCCCTGTGACACTACCTCTTCCATCGCAAAATGTTTTTTAATGCTTATTTTACACACAAATTTTTGTATGTCAATAAATGTTTTGAATTTAGCATCTTATTAAGTACAAAGTTTAGCCTTAGGTCTAATACCTGTAATTCCTTCTTTGGGAATGTAATGTCCTTAAGGTTAAAAATAACTTCCCCTATTCTTTTTTTTGTTTTCTTACTCTTTCTTATTCTCTTACCCCACTGCAACCTCTCTTCCTAGGCCTTCTGGGTGTAATATTACTTTTGGTCCTAACAGGTCTTTTAGGGCTCCCTCCATTTTCTCTATTGCCCCCCCCCCCCCCTCCTCGGTAGGGTGGTTTATCATTGGATGGGCTCCTTTATCCCCCATAACCTCCTCTGCCATGACATGGGTCACTGAACACAACTATAAATCTTTTGATTGGTAAAACAGTCCATGCATATGTTTTCTACTGTTTATTAATCTATTTTCCTGGAGTTTACATTTAGTAACATTGCATGTATAATGAGCTGGTTTCTACCGAAGACCCGCACTGGAGTGTGGGTTCAACAAGAACATCTCCTTTAATCTCATAGGTAAGAGAACTCCAGTTAATGATATTTCCTTTGTGATCTCCAAGACATAACTTTCCGTATATCTTCTGGCGACAAAACATCATCCCACATGTGGACATCACTTATTTCACCAGAAAACGACTGATTAATGTCAAACCCTCCCCCAAATTTATCTTGCTCCTGTCCCAAAACTATGCTTGTTTCAGGACCAATAGTAGAACCTTTTTTTGAAACTTGTCTAGGGTACAATTTTCCATTGATCCAAAGTTGAATTACTCCAGTAGTGGAATCCCAGGTCATACAGGTTAGCTTCCAGCTTAGCATCTCAGTGTCTGTCTTGAAAAGAGTTTTTTCCTCATTAATATACACACTGTAGACATTCAGTGGTCGTTGAAAAATTAAAAAAGTGTTGTACTTTCCAGAATTCATTGCCAGAGAAAAGAGACTATGGGGCCGTGTAAGCTCTGTGTAAGATTTCAAGCAGACACTAACTTTTTCTAATGGTTTCCTTATGTCAGGTTTCAAAATCACATGTGCGGTCGCAGTTGGTTTTGGAAAAAGGAACACTTTACCACTCATATCTAGTAAAAACAAAATGTAAAACAATAATGTCTATTATTGAGAACTGTTTTTTTTTGCTTTATATTTTATTAGTTACAAACAATTTAAACACTAAAATGTATTAATTTAGATTCATCAGCGGAATTATGATCATTGCCATCATTTATAAACACTATCATCATTACTGTATATAAAATTACCATGTGAAAGTGGAAAACTATGATAACTGCTTTAAAATGTTTTGCCAACCAAAACTTTTTTTTTGTTTTTTGAGGGAGGGTTAGAATCCTTAGTTAGGGTTAACACCCCTGTAATGTTGGTTTTTTTTCTCTGTGCCCCTGTTCAGAAGATTTCCCCGCACTTTCTGTCCCTGTGACAATTAGATTTTGAAAATGTTGGGTTGTTGTGGAAACAAGGATTGGTGATAAACCTTCATTGGAGACACCTTGTTCCCATGATAACTCTTACAGGAGCGAATTTCCTTTCCTAGTGGTAAATTACCTCTCAATTCCTTTATATGTACGAGTTGCTCGTAACTGAAATGTCCGTAACTTAGGGACTGCCTGTAATGGAATTTTCATGACCTCATCTCTGTAATTCAAAAGATAACAGCATCTGCTCTGCTAAGGAGGTGTGCATAACAGCAGGGATTACATCATATCCTCTCCTCTCTATCTGCAGTAAAAGTAAACTACAGTTCCCATCAACCACAGGGAATTGTAGCAAATGTGGATAGGTACACTAGGCCTGTACATATTTTATGTGTCTGAGAGTCTCGGGCTGCCCACCACTGCATGTGGGGCTGAATGATATCATTGCTTCCTGGAAAAACATCTACAGAAGGGGTGTGCCTAGTTACTGGGGGAATAGGAGTCATAGCAGCCACTGGTCTTACAAACAGGAAAACAAAAAGAGAATTAATGGATTGATTTCAAAATGATTAGGCTATTTCAGAGCAACTACTGAATGAACTAGAAGATGTATGACATATTCAGTGAAGGTAGGAAATTGGCAACAAGGACGTGTAAAGAAGCTTTTGCCTGGAATTCTGCTTTAAGGATCTACTTTAATTGTAAGCTGTAACACATACCATTCTGCGCAAAAGTTCCCATGACAAGCATTAGCAACAGGATATGCAGCTTCATCCTCCTAATTAAAACAAGAATAAAGAGTTAAAATCTCTGCTAGTTGGTTATTTGAGATATTTTATTATGCATTTATGTATGTCTTTCTAACTGCATCTTAGGCAGACACCCAGTGCTTTGCTACAATAAAGTATTTTTTTTTTATATCTTTCTTATGTGTGTTCAAAAATGTCCTTGGCTACCCAAGTACTTGGTATGTGTTTTGAATACAAAAAAGCATCTGCTAAGATTTTTTTGTTTTCTGTATGGTTGAACTGGATAGACTTTTGTCTTTTTTCAGCCAAACTAACTATGCAACTATGATATCAAGTTGAGGAGTGTGGGAGTGCTTTGTAGTCCACACACTCCCCGCCCTGGGGGAGGCTACTTATCCATAGATGCAGCACACTGAGTGAGCCTTTCCCAACCTAGGACAAGAAGGGTGTTATTAAAAGGATCACCAGGTTGAAATAAAGAAGTAAAAAAAAAAAATCCTCAAAAAAAGAAAACCAATACAGATGCCACATCTGAGGACTGATAAGCTGCAATCTATCACATTTTTGTTTTGGGTTTACTCACCATGATTGCTCCCTGAGCACCATGTTCCTGGCCAGAATATATACTGCATATGTGTGTTAGAAAACCTGCTATTAGTAATTTCAGTCACTCACTTGGTAGTAGCAAAAAATATATTTTTTGTATAAAAATTATTTTCTAATGCAAACTTATTGTAGTAATATACAGTAAGATTTATACAATACATCATAAATAACTAAAGGACTGGAGGGAAATAATTCATGTAAAGCTGAACTTAAGGAAAAAAAATATTTTTGACTTGTGCTTCATACATACAAGTTACCTCTAATGACAGTAATCATAAATCTAGATAGTTACTGTTTCGTTTTAAAATCCTAGTCTCACTCTTGCCTGAATGCACAGTCAGAGATGCTGCCAGGACCTGGATCACCTGCTGATGGCACTGTGGTTCCTAGAGTGCAAAGTGACCACCAGTGGGTGTCTCCCAGCAGCCAGCAGATCCTAGTAATTAGTATCCACCTGATGCTGGCTGCTGGGAGGATGTTTAGTTCCTCCTCTACTAGCAACTTGTGCTTCAGTCTTTTACTTGCTCATTTATCCTAACCCTGCTCCTGATCTTACTCTTGCCCTGCATCCTATACCCTACTGCCTTGTTCCTGATCCCAGTTCTGGTACCCCCCCCCCCTTCCCTGCATCCCAAGTACTACCCCGTGTTTCCTATTTTGTATATATTGTATAGAATTAGTTAAGCTTACTGTTGTTTAGTTAGGTTGCTTGTTAGGTATTTTTTCTTTTGGTTATGGTTCACTTTAAATTTTAAAGTTATTAAACTTGCTTAAAAGGATAAGATCACCTTTTGAACAAAAATTAAAAACGCACATTTTTTTGCAGGTAAAAAAATGTGGATTTATCATTTTTGTCCAAAAGGAGCCTGGGAAGCATTGCACCAGTGATCAGTAGATTGCTGATGCCATGAAGGTCTCCTGCAGACCTGTTAGAATATGTTTGCCGTATGGCCAAGCAGATATTCTGACAGGAAGCTTCAATGAACTACCACGGCGCTCTACAGCACCATGATAGTTCATTGAAAACTACAAGCCCACAGCCGCTAAGGCTGTCCGGATTTATAGTTCATTCATTCATGGAAGCCAGTGAATGAATGATGCAAAAGTGTGGGCAGAGCTGTTTTCAAATCTGATAGATAGTATGGGGAAACTTCTCCCCATATTATCTGTCGGGGGTGGTGGTGGCTGGCGCGGCTGCAGCTATGGGAGTATGTAACATGTTCCAAAGGTGAACTTATCCTTTAAATTATATATAGTCTGGTTTTGGTTTCCTGAATGCTACTATGCAGATCTTGCCATCCCTGCTTCTGGATGCCTCCAGTCGGTACCCCTGATCTCCAGCTACACAGGCATAAGAGTAGAGGCTGTGACAGTGAAGGAATTCTATCATTCATCCTCTTTTTCCTCTTCCCCTGTTCCCCTGTTCATTGGAGAAGGAGAGATCCTGTCATTTACCCACCCTTGCTTTCCTCGTGCTCATTCATAGAACACTTCGCATCGATCAAGACCTAGGGTTACATCCATTAGAGGTAACTTGTTTGTGTAAAACACATTAAAAAAATTCCGGATTTTTGCTTTCATTTTAGCGACTAGTTAGACATCCCAAAAGGTGCTCTAGACTGAAGAACTTCTGTTCTCAGGTGAGGATGTGAAGGAAAGACTTAATATTCCACAGTGGTGTATTTAGATCTTTTGCTGCCCTAGGCAACACAAAAATCAGACACCCCCCTGTGGAGAGAGCCTGACACTGACCCACAACAGTGGCCAACAACACCCATGCCCCCCCCCACCCAAGAAAGCCTTCCACTAACACCAACCCCCCCCCCCCCCGGAAACAGGGAGAAAGGCACTCACCTTCACAGCTCCTGAACAGGAGTCGGGCTCTGCATACACCATCAAGAAGCCAGCAGCCTCTTTCAGATCCTGCCTAGTCCCCATGCTGCATATGTCCTTTCTTCCTGGGGGGTGCTGCCCCCCTGAAAAATGCCACCCTAGGCAAATGCCTTGTTGCCTTGTGGTAAATGCACCCCTGATATTCCACTATTAATGAGGTCAAGGGGGCACTCTTTACATCTGAAGGAAAAGAAATGTAATCTCCAAATACGGAAAGGTTTCTTCACAGCGAAAACTGTAAAAATGTGGAATAGACTCCCTCAAGAGTTGGTTCTGCCCAGCTCAGTGGATTGCTTTAAAATAGGCCTGGATTCTTCCTTAGATACACAGAATATAACTGGATACTAACATTTTTGGATAAAGTTGATCCAGGGAATATCTGATTGCCTCTTGGAGGATCAGGAAGGAATTATTTTTTTTTTTTCCCTGCAGGAACAAATTGGATCATGCTTTGCTGGGTTTTTTTGCCTTCCTCTGGATCAACTGTAGGCATAGAATAACTTTTTTCTTTTTTTTATAGTTGAACTAGATGGACTTTTGTATTTTTTCAGCCAGACTAACTATGTAACTATATGTAATGGCATAGCAGCCTTGATAGAAAAATGCTACCCTAGAGATTCAGTCAAACCTTACTGTTTTATAATGGCAACATAACTGGACAGATTTAGTAAACAAGTTAATAATCTGCATATGACTGGAAAAGGGTAACTCCACTGTTGTTGAGAAAAAAAAACATTCCCCTCTGGGTGATCAATGCACATTTCAAGGATTTTACCAAACTTTGTTGCAGATTACAATCTTTTGTTATTCTGAAGAACTAGCTGCTTGTTTGTCTGTGTCCATTTGCAAATTAATGTAAATGGGAGTGTTTTTTTTATTATTATCAATCAGCTGCTGTACTTACAGGGTTCTAATGAGGAAAGTTGCAGGGTCTGTATCCCTTTGGGAGTATCTCACCAAAAATTAGATTTTTGTTGCCCAAAATCTAACTTATATCTTAATGAAATGTGGGAAATAAGTAAGGCAATCATACAAGCAGGAAATGACATTTTTGAGGGACATCCTGTACACAGATGGTGTCATCTCCAGTTTGTCATATTGTGTTGCATTTTACAGAAAACTACAGTGCTGCAGATTGGCAGAATGAAAATGAAAAGTTCACCTTTTGGAACACGTTACATGTTCCACCCATTTTTAGAGTGGAATATGTAACATGTTCTAGATCTTGCAGCTGCCACACGAACCCCCCCCCCCCCCCCCCCACGGTTACTTTCCCCATATTATTTGTAACTTTTTAGAAATAGCATGACTAAACTAGACTAACTAGGCCATAATGTCGAGGTAGATATCAATTGCTACATCGATGACAGCTGAAGTCTATTAGGATTTCATTGAATGT